TCAACTTAATTTGTAGATAGTTAGTATGTTTTTTAAAAATGTTGATAGATATGTTTAATTTTCTGATCAATTATATATAATATTTTACACAATCAATTATATTTATATACAAAACTTTCATGGATTAAGTTTTCTCATGTAGAAGTTATTTTAATGTGGGTCCCACTAATTTTAATACATTTTGACGTTACTTCTATTCCAAACACGCAAAAAAAGTGATGTTCTCCACACTCCTTTTCTCCACCACGCAAATTTTGTACTACTAACTGAAGCATTGTTAAATAATCTCACTATTTCTCCATTTCTACTAATTTTTTTATTGCGTACTATTATTTCATTGTTGCTTATTTTCAAATGAAAAAAAGGATTATGTACTTTTCCTATATACTATACATTTTAACTAACATGATTCAACTTAATTTGTAGATAATTGGTATGTTTTTAAAATTGTTGATATATGTTTAATTTTCTGATCGATTGTATATAATATTTTACACAATCAATTATATTTATATACAAAACTTTCATGGATTAAGTTTTCTCACGTGGAAGTTATTTTAATGTGGGTCCCACTAATTTTAATACATTTTGACGTTACTTCTATTACAAACACGCATAAAAAGTGTATGTTCTCCATACTCCTTTTCTCCTCCACGCAAGTTTTGCACTACTAACTAAAGCATTGTTAAATAATCTCACTATTTCTCCATTTCTACTAATTTTTTTTATTGCGTACTATTATTTCATTGTTGCTTATTTTCAAATGAAAAAAAGGATTGTGTATCTTTCCTATATACTATACATTTTAACTAACATGATTCAACTTAATTTGTAGATATTTGGTATGTTTTTTTAAAAATGTTGATGGATGTTTAATTTTCTGATCGATTATATATAATATTTTACACAATCAATTATATTTATATACAACACTTTCATGGATTAAGTTTTCTCACATGGAAGTTATTTTAATGTAGGTCCCACTAATTTTAATACATTTTGACGTTACTTCTATTCGAAACACGCATAAAAAGTGATGTTCTCCACACTCCTTTTCTCCACCACGCAAATTTCGCATTACTAACCGAAGCGTTGTTAAATAATCTAACTATTTCTCCATTTCTACTAATTTTTTTATTGCTAACTATTATTTCATTGTTGCTTATTTTCAAATGAAAAAAATGATTGTGTACTTTTCCTATATACTATACATTTTAACTAACATGATTCAACTTAATTTGTAGATAATTGGTATCTTTTTAAAATTGTTGATAGATGTTTAATTTTCTGATCGATTATATATAATATTTTACACTATCAATTATATTTATATACAAAACTTTCATAGATTAAGTTTTCTCACGTGGAAGTTATTTTAATGTAGGTCCCACTAATTTTAATACATTTTGACGTTACTTCTATTCTAAACACGCATAAAAAGTGTATGTTCTCCACACTCCTTTTCTCCTCCACGCAAGTTTCGCACTACTAACTGAAGCGTTGTTAAATAATCTCATTATTTCTCCATTTCTACTAATTTTTTTTATTGCGTACTATTATTTCATTGTTGCTTATTTTCAAATGAAAAACGGATTGTGTACTTTTCTTATATACTATACATTTTAACTAACATGATTCAACTTAATTTGTAGATAGTTGGTATGTTTTTAAAAATGTTGATAGATGTTTACTTTTTTGATTGATTATATATAATATTTTACACAATTAATTATATTTATATACAAAACTTTCATGTATTAAGTTTTCTCATGTGGAAGTTATTTTAATGTGGGTCCCTCTAATTTTAATACATTTTGACGTTACTTCTATTCCAAACACGCATAAAAAGTGATGTTCTCCGCACTTTTTTTCTCGTCCACACAAGTTTTGCACTACTAACTGAAGCGTTGTTAAATAATCCCACTAATTGTACATTTCTGCCAATTTTTTTTATTGTATATTATTATTTCATTGTTGCTTATTTCCAAATGAAAAAAAAGGGATTGTGTACTCTTGCTATATACTATACATTTTAACTAACAAGATTCAACTTCATTAGTAGAATGTTTGTTTTCTTAAAAATGTTGATAAATGTTAATTTTTTTGATAGATTATACATAATATTTATACAATCAATTATGTTTATATATATAAACATAAAATTGACGAGTGAATGAGAATAAGTCGTTTCTCTTTATACAGAAACTTATGTGAATTGAGTCTCCTTAGTATGTTAGTTATTTTGATGTGGGTCCCATTAATATTCAATTAACTTTGTCGTTACTTTTATTCCAAACACGCATAAAGATTGATGTACCTATCACTTCATTTGTTCTCTACGCAAGTTCTACGTTAGTAACCGAAGTATTAATAAATAATTTCATCATTTCCTAGTTTCTATTATTCTTTTAGAGTTAGAATTTGTTGACATCAGATATAAATCTAAAATTATATAGCAAATCTTGTATCTTCAATAACTTTTTATATAAAGTAAATTGAATTGATCCAAACGTTGAATTATATGAAATTATATTCAATATCATGTATATCAAATTTCACCCAATTTAAATTTCTTTTAGATATGTTAACTAAAAATAGATATTTACATTTTTTAAATTCATATTTTACGTTAAAATAAAAAATATGATAAACTACTAAATAATTTTAAAATCATGTGAAATTTGAGATATATGATCTTGAGTGTAATATCACATAATTCAACAATTGGATCGATTAAGTTTGTATTTTACAAAATGTTATTAATTAAGAATATAAGATTTGGTTTTAGTTTTTAAACTTATACATAATGTTAATATATCTTGACTTATTTTTCTAATGTGTATTATTATTTCATTGTTGTTTATTTCCAAATTAAAATGAAAAAAAGATCGTGTCCTTATGCTATATTTACATTTTAACCAACTAGATTCAACTTAATTAGTAGATAGTTAATTTTCTATAAAAATGTTGACAGAAGTTTAATTTTCTAATCAATAATATACAATATTTATATAATCAATTACATTTATATATACTAACGTACAAAAGGCATTATGTACCTCGGTGAATTATTTTTAAAAATAATAAATGATAAAAATTATATAATAGTGAATAATTATTAAAAATATAAGCAATTATGGAAAGAAATTTACAAAAAAGAATAAAAAAATTGTAACTTGCAAAATAGTAGCTATAAGCGTAAAATTGGACAAAAATTATGTACACTAAAATGTTCAATTTTTTTATTTTATTTTATTTTATTTTATAATTAGTGAAGTCAAGACACTTTGTATTTATATAAAATTATTAATATTTATTAAATTGATGTTGTATTTGGTCCTCAAACTTAATGGTCATAAATTTAAGTATTATATTTATAAAATAATTAAATTTTAATATCATTTTTTATAATTTAAAATTTTAAGGATAAAATTATTTAAAAAAAATATATACATAAAATGAAACAATTCTTTTTATTATATGTTATAAATCATAGATAAACATAAAGAGTGAAAATAAATAGCGTCTCTTTATACATGAACTTCAACGAATTCAATCTTTTCAGTGCAAAAGTTATTTTAATGTAAGTCCTTCTAATATTTGATACACTTTAACGTTATCTTTGTTCCAAACACATAAAGAAGTGATATTTCATGCATTCCTTTTCCCTTTCAAGTAAGTTTCGTGCTACTAATTAAAGCGTCAATAAATAATCTCACCACTTCCACATTTCTATTTAATTTTTTTTATTATGTTATTATTTCATTGTTGCTTATTTTCAAATGAAAAAAAGATTGTATACTTATGCTATATGCTAAACATATTAACCAACAACATTCAACACAATTAGTACATAGTAGATTTTCTTAAAAATGTTCACAGAAATTTAATTTTCTAATTGTACATATGGAAAAGATATTGTTATTTGAGGCAAAATTCACTTTTGTTATTTCTACATCTAAGAGAGAATTAGACTTAGACTTCGACTATAGTTTTTTTTTCTTCCTTTTTTTTTTCAATAAAACAATATGTAATATACATTTTACGAAACAAACTAACGTGTATGTATTCGTCATCGAATGATTCATTTAATGTATGAAAAATAAATTGAAGTAGTTGAAATTTTTTGTTACATCTTCTTTCTTAACTGTACTGAATCAAACATGAAAATGGCTTAAGAAGAAAAGAAGACATTAAGAAAATGGTAGAAACAGCAAAAGCAAATTAGCAAGGGCACATAATCCATGCGAGAGAAAGCAATCACTGCTGGGGATATATTATTAGCATTTAACATTCCACGTGACAATTGGAGCTATATTAATAAATCATGTTTTCTCCACATTTCTACATTCGAGAAGAAAAACTCCATCTCTATGATATTAGGGTACACAAGACATTTAGAATATTGTATAACTACTTCTTTTCATAGAATTTGTTTTTACACACAACACTCGCACAAAATTTTATTTTAAAATAAATGCACCTTATATGATATGGCGTTGATATGAAATATTTACTAATTTTATAAATAAAAAATATTAAATTTTTTATTATTTAAATACAAATAAATTTTAATTAAGTCAATTTTATTTAATTTTTTATTATCTAAACATATACTTAAAATAATAAATGATAACATTATTTAAAAAAATTAATTAAGAATATTTTTATAAATATAATGTATGTTTTATATAAAATAATAAAAATTAACTACATTTAATCACGAAATTATTTTTTTCAGAAATATTTGTTAAGAAATTTGACCAGTTATCTTTAATAAAATGTACCTTCTTAATCACATTTTTTATCTATGATTTGGTGGTACATGATAAAACGCAATATACTGAACTGAACTAAACTTCGGTCGTGATAAAATAAATAAATATAGTTGCATATTTATTAAAGTACACGCCCACGTATCTCACTCAAAACAAACAAATAAATAGAACACGTCTCTTGTCATTAATTGGTGGCAAATAATCTCGTAATAATAGAAGCCTGAAAAATAAGGTAGAATCAAATCAACATAACCAAATGTTAAAGAAGGTGAATAATGCAAAAGCTAGTGTGTGTAGCGCTGCTAGTGATTTCATGTCGTCATTACATTTCCTGAGATGAGGGGAGGTTGATAGTGTGTTGTACTGTTTTCGTGTTGATATAGACTAGCTCCACTTTTTATGTGATTTTCATTTAATGCAAGTATACGAGTTTTTTGTTTTGTTTTGGTGTTAATTATTTTAATGATATAAATAGCTTAAAGCTGCAAAGGGGTAGGACTTGGTAGCATGCACACACTAGTTGCTGTTTGAAGCAAAGAGAGAGAAAGAGAGAGAGAGAAGGGACAGGGAGGTTTTAGTTTTTGGCATTGGTGCTTGTGCTTGAGAAATGGAAAAGGAAAAGAAAGAAAGAAAGAAGGGAACAGTATCAGCGTCAGTGTGATGAGTGGTTTCACTGAAAGGTTGGTTTCTTTTCGAGATAGAAAAGAAGAAAAGGCACAACAAGTAGTATAGTACTCAACTCAAACCCAATAATACTAGCCACTCATGCTTTCCTTTGGTCCGCGTGCTTCGATGCAAACCCTTTAATTTGGTTGCTTTGTGTTGTGCCAAGCCCCACCCTTTGAAAGAAAGATCTCTGCACTCTGCCTTTTTCTCAGGTTTTGCTCTTCTTTGTTCTCTAGGGGCACAACACCACATGAGATTCTCACATTAACAACGTGGACCCTTCTTCTCTCCCTTCTCTCATATGGGGTGGTGAGTCAAGGTGGTGATGGGAGAGGAGGGAAAGGAGAGTTTTTGTTTGGTGGGGATGCAACTTGTGAATTGAAGACTTAGAAACGTAGGTTCCTCTAAGTTGAAGAAGACGTAGAGAGTGGTGCAGCTTAGGAATAGGATTATGATGGCTTCCGTAGAAGAAAAGATTAAAACCGGAGGAGTTGGTGTTGGAGTTGGCGGAGGAATGGTTGTTGGGGGTCAAAGTCTTGTTGCTGAGATGAAACTGCTGAAAGAAATGCAGGAACATTCTGGTCTGTTTCATTATTTTGTTTTTGTTTTGGAAAATCATTCTTAATTTCTTACCTTTTGGTTACATTTTTAATGAATGGCTTGCTTGATGCTGCTAAATTTTGCAGGGTTCAGAAAGACTTTGAATTCAGAGTTATGGCATGCTTGTGCAGGCCCTCTTGTGTCACTACCTCAGGTTGGGAGTCTTGTGTTTTACTTCCCTCAGGGACATAGTGAGCAGGTGAAGGAATGAATTTGTTTTCGAAGCGCTAATTTTTCTAACCTTGCTTTGTTATCTCTAACTCATTATTTCTTTTGAATATCTAACCAAGATTCTTAGCTGAGTGACTTTGTTGTTTGTTGTGGTTGGCTGAAGCATGTTTGTCACTGTGTCTAAATATATGAACAGGTGGCAGCTTCTACTAGAAGAACAGCAACCTCGCAGATTCCAAACTACCCCAATCTTCCATCTCAGTTGTTGTGTCAAGTTCAAAATGTCACACTGCATGTGAGTGCTGTGTTCTGGTTTACCACTTGTTGAGCTTATTTTGACTTAAAATCTTCAAAACTCTGAACAAAATTTAACCTTTTTTTTTTTTTTTTTTTTCCCTCCTGTATGTTATGATAGGCAGACAAGGAGACAGATGAAATCTATGCTCAAATGACTCTCCAACCGCTGAATTCTGTAAGCTTGGAAGTCTCAGTCTTGGAGTTTTTGTCATTCAACATTTAAATCTCAATGTTGGTTGTGATGTATTGGACATTCTTAGTTTGAATTTGGATTTCTATGTTTCAGGAAAAAGAAGTCTTTCCCATATCTGATTTTGGACTAAAGCACAGTAAACATCCCAGCGAGTTCTTCTGCAAAACTTTGACTGCTAGTGATACAAGCACGCATGGCGGCTTTTCGGTTCCTCGCAGGGCAGCAGAGAAGCTCTTTCCTCCGTTGGTATGGCCATAACACCATCTGGTTGCAAATCAAGCTTTGCCTGTGCTTGGTAAGATTTTATAATTTTCATTTCATTGATATGTTTTATGTTTTACTTTAGGATTACACTATTCAACCCCCAACTCAAGAACTCGTTGTTCGAGATTTGCATGACAATACCTGGACATTTCGACATATATACCGCGGTGAGTATGCTTTTTGGCTTTCAACTCTATCTATTGCTTTGTCAGAAAATGGAATGAGTGATTTGTTGTGGATTCAATTTCATATTAAGCACTGCATTCTTGCTCTCTTTTTTTCAAGTTAGTGTTTGGCTTTGCACTTGCAGGCTTGCAGCTTTCTTCTGTGGCATTTTTGTTTTTATTATTTTATCCTTGAGTGGATTAGAGTCCTCATTTTTATTTTTCTTTTTAACATTTTCTTTTAGGTCAACCAAAGAGACACCTTCTCACAACAGGATGGAGTTTGTTTGTAGGCTCAAAAAGGCTTAGAGCTGGTGATTCTGTTCTTTTCATCAGGTAATTGCCTAATTGTTGGCTACAGGCAGCATTCTTTATTTGTATGTTACATATAGAAGACATCATTTCAATTTTCAAGGGGAAGGGTAGCAAAAGTACTAAAATTTTTGTCCAAAACAAAGTCTCTACAATTCTCTAATAACGTTGTTTTCCCCATGGTGACATTGCCCTGTAATGGATTATGGATCCAACCATAGTATTGTGAAAATTTTGAAATTCAGATTGAAACTTATTCCTTTCAGTTGCATAACCTTCTTTATACTAAAAATAATATGTAAATTACTACAAGGGATGAGAAATCTCAATTGCGAGTTGGCGTGAGGCGCGTTAATCGTCAACAGACAACTCTGCCATCATCAGTGCTTTCTGCTGATAGCATGCACATTGGTGTGCTTGCTGCTGCAGCTCATGCTGCTGCCAATCGAAGTCCATTTACTATTTTCTACAATCCAAGGTATATTTAGTATGTTCATACACCTAACATATGTTATAATTTTGTTTCAAATATAGTGTAATATGTATTTCTACTTTTTTATTTGTAGGGCATGCCCTTCAGAATTTGTTATTCCGCTGGCTAAATACAGAAAATCTGTATTTGGGACTCAGGTCTCAGTTGGTATGAGATTTGGCATGATGTTTGAGACTGAAGAATCGGGTAAGCGCAGGTAAATTCTCGAATGCTTGGATTATGCTACAGCTAAATATGCCGTGTGAACTATTTTGGTGATAGGGTGAAATACTGAAATCCCAAACAAGCATGAAAAGTTGACACATACTTCATATTTCTGCAGATATATGGGTACAATAGTTGGTATTAGTGACGTAGATCCCTTAAGGTGGCCTGGTTCTAAATGGAGAAATATTCAGGTACATGAAGTTAAAACTTGTTCTTTAACATTGGTTCAATATGAAGTTCTATCATATTTTGCTGTATGGTCCAATAAAATCTAATAGTTCTATGAAGCATAATGCCTTGAGTTTAGTGGAAATAGTTGGCCTACTCTCATAGCTGAACATTAAACAACTTGATGATTTCTCTGGAAACAGGTGGAGTGGGATGAACCAGGGTGTGGTGATAAGCAGAATAGAGTTAGTGTATGGGAGATTGAGACTCCTGAAAGCCTTTTTATCTTCCCTTCTTTGACTTCAAGTCTGAAACGGCCATTACAATCTGGACTTTTAGGTAAGTTTGTTTCTTATATTTCTCTTCCTACTTAGTAGATGAGTCTCCTATTTGATGACTTGTTATGTTGGTTGGTGCAGAAAATGAGTGGGGAATGTTAAGAAGACCTTTTATAAGAGTTCCAGAAAATGGAACTATGGAGCTCTCTAATTCAATGCCAAATCTCTACTCAGAACACCTGATGAAAATGCTTTTTAAACCCCAGCTTATGAACAACAATGGAGCATTTTTATCTGTCATGCAACAAGAATCTGCAGCTTCAAGAGCTCCCTTGCAAGATATGAAGGCCACGCTGGCAGCAGAGAGCCTGAAAGCTCAACTTGCAAGTACAGAGAACATGCCACTGAAAAATCTACATTCTCAATCTATCCCTGACCAAGCCTTAAACATGCAATCAGTTTTGAAAAGTGATCAAATTGAAAAATTGCATCCTCTGGCCAAAATTGACAATCATTTGCCTTGTGGAGCAGTTACTGACAAGTCAAAATTAGAATGTGAGGTACTACCTGATCATATTGTTGATTACCCTTCCATGGAAGGCTGCATCCTAGAAAAGGTTGCAGCAAATCCTGTTAACCAGCAAGGCCTACCAAGCCAATTTACATTCCATAATCAAAACCAGAGTCCACTACTTCCTCAATCTAGTCCATGGCCTATGCAACCTCAGCTAGAATCATCCTTACCCCATCCTCAAATGATTGACATGGCTCAAGCTGATTCTGCTTTGGCAAATGGCATGATTCCTCAACTTGACATTGATGAATGGATGGCGTATGCTTCTTCCCAACCTTTTGTTGGGCAGAACAAATCAACTGGACCTTTATCAGATTTGCAAGATCATGCTTCACTTCAACCTCAAGCAATGAACCCCCCTTTACCTTCAACAAACCAAGAAGTGTGGGATCATTATGTCAAGAACTTAAAGCTCTTATCTCAACCAGACCAGATAACATCTATCACTCAGCCAGGGATGTATGGCCTCAATGGCATACCTAGTTCAAACAGTTTGAGGGATCTTTCGGCTGAGAGCAACAACCAAAGTGAGATTTGTGTCAATGTTGATGTTAGTAACAGTGTAGGCACCACCATGGTTGATCCTTCTACTTCAAGCACCATTTTGGATGAGTTTTGCACAATGAAGGACAGAGAATTCCAGACACCACAAGATTGCATGGTGGGCAACTTGAGTTCAAGCCAGGATGTCCAGTCTCAGATAACATCTGCAAGTCTAGCTGAGTCACATGCATTTTCTCTGAGAGACAACTCGGGTGGTACTTCTTCAAGCCATGTTGATTTTGATGAAAGCAGCTTTCTGCAGAATAACTCATGGCAGCAAGTACCTGCTCCCATCCGAACCTACACAAAGGTTTGTAGCAGAGAGACATGAAAGAAAAAAATCTTTTCACATTTGTATTCATACTATATTATGTTATGCTAGTGCTAATTTTATATTTTGTCAACTGTATTATTTGGCTAAACATCTTAAATCATGTATCTCATCATGATTTTGGTTTCTGACAGGTGCAAAAGGCAGGTTCTGTAGGAAGATCAATTGATGTCACTACTTTCAAGAACTATGAAGAGTTGATCCGTGCAATTGAATGCATGTTTGGACTCGATGGTCTGCTGAATGACACTAAAGGTTCAGGATGGAAATTGGTGTATGTAGATTATGAGAATGATGTTCTTCTTGTTGGGGATGATCCTTGGGAGTAAGTTTCTTACCTCTTATTATGTGTGGTGATAGCCATAGGCTGAGAATTCTTTTGAACCAAGATAATTTGTGTGGCAATCTGATATATTATAAAATGCTGTGTCTAGGGAATTTGTTGGCTGTGTCCGCTGCATCAGAATTTTATCGCCTTCAGAAGTTCAGCAGATGAGTGAAGAAGGGATGAAGATTCTAAACAGTGGAGCTTTGCAAGGGATGAATGTTTGAATATTAGGTGGCTGCATGCAATGTCACTGAGCCATACTTAGCTATTTTATTGGATAACATTGGCCTCAAATGGTTTTATCGTCCAAGCAATCTTTCAAAAGCTAAGGCATATGTTGTGAAAGCCATATATTATTACCTTGTCCTTACGAGAGTGTCTTGTCATGTATGAACTAAAGTTGAAGGACACTCGTTATTGGAACATTAGTTGGTATATACCCAACCTTGAAGAGGGTTTAGCTTATTATCACAGATCAAAAGTTGTAATATGTTCCATTGAGTCAAGGGTTACACACTTCATGTTATAAGACATTCTTGTAGGCAATGGAAGTATTATGCTTTATTATTATTACTACGCATTGGTACCTGTCCAAATAATCAACCATCCAATGCTACGTTATTTGCACTCTAGTTGGGTTATAAACCAAATTTAAGCAAATCAAAAGAGTTGAAAAATGAAGAGATTTCAAGGTATTAGATTTATAAGTTCTTCTCAATCTTGTTTAACTTGTTCATTTTTACTAGAGCTTGTTACTCACACTTATTACTCAAATCTATGAAACAAGTCTTAAAAGAGGGCATGTTTTAATGAAAGTATGGATTTCTATAAACAGGGTAACATACTTTTCAAATTGTTGAAATATTCTTTTCTGTATTGGCATAAAAGTTCAAAAACAAATGTAGTTTTTTTTTTTTTCCTTTTCAAATAATACTTCATGTTCGAATGGTAATAAGAGATTAAGTCGCCAAATCAATATGAAGTCAATATATGATTTAGTAGAATAATGGTGAGACAAAAAGAGGACTTGTCTATACCTCGTGATGTTAAGAGTTTTTATAGGCTTGTATAAACAATTATTGGAGTGAGGTTGTTATCCATGCAGATAGTTTGTTACAGAATGTGTCACGATTGAGCAAGTTTATCATGTCTTTCGTTAATAAGTTAACGTTTACATGACCAAATTGGCTTTGGTGTGACTAAGTCGGTTTATGATTGACGTAGGTGTATTTTTGCTTGGAGTAACTGCATTGTAGACTAGACTAAATCGGATACCGAGTGAATTTAGGTTCAAGAAGCCCTTGGCTAAGGTAGACTTTAGATGACATCCAAAACACTTCACATTTAAAAGTGTCCCTTGCTTGTGGACCATTTGTTTATTTTCTTCATTTTTTTCAATTTATTTCCATGCAAAATTACAAATCCAACCGGGCCAGCAACATTTAAAGCCACTAGAGTTCTCACAATGAATGAGCTGCATCAATTCATCACTTGTTATATCGTTTTGTGTCAAATTTGACTTCATTGTTTGGATTTCTGATTTCTGATCTTCCCTCTTGGAAGTATATATAATCAAACCCTATACGAAAAATCTTGATAAATTTGACGGTGCAACACGTATTGCATTTTGAGACTCCCGAAATTGCTTGCATGAATGAGACTATTGATTAATGGGGTACACATTTTTAGCCACTGCCATTAGCCCCTCAATAAAATACTGACAATGGCAGTTAAAGGCTTCTGCACCTTGGGGGCGCCATAAAGGGATAGAAACAAGATGGGCAATTAATTCCACAAGCACATACTTACATAATTCATCTCAACTGCAATGTTCATGAGCACAGATACATGCCCCAGCAATAACTGTGCTCTCGGTGTTGTTATAATTAAATACAAAGCTTCAGCTACAAGGTTTCATAATTAAATTGAAGCTTCACCTTCAAGTTATTACACTAAGATTCAGATGGTACGTGCCTAGTTTAAGATATTATAAAGTTAATCAATGCGTTTCATTATTTAACTGCAGGTGATGCGCAAATATATATAATAGAGAAGTGTTGAAATACAAATAAGGTTCCAAATTAATAAAATAAAAAAAGAAATAATAATTTATAAACATATACTTCTAATGATTGAGACATTTTTTTAATGAGATAATCAAAAGGAAAATCGTGAGAATTAGTTCCAAAACAAATAATATTTCATCATTATAGAGTTTTATGTGAAATAACCTTATAAAAATAATAAAATTATAATCTTCCACTTGATATAAATATATCCCTTTAGACAAATACCCACAAAATAACTCTAATAAGAAGTTATGATTTGAAAATTCAAATCAAAACCGTAGTCTGTTAAAACTCACCGTCGGAACAATGATAGTTACAATATCGCGAGTGAATTTAATCCTTGTGGTAGAAAAAAAAATAAAAAATAAAAAATAGAACCTTACTGTGTTAAAAAATTTCTAAGTAATTATAAGTATTCATGTTCTGTGGCCCAGTGAGCCGAAACAAGCTAGGCTAGCTTCTTTGCAGCAAATTGGGCTTGAAGAACAAATTTAGGTAACACCGTATATGAAGCAAGTGGATGCTGCAAACGAAGTTGAAAAATGCTAAAAACATACTTAAACGCATATATTATACACTCTTACCTATTAGGCAAATTCATGTGGGTCTCTTTAAATATGCGAGTCTTATTCTCCATGTGGTAAAAACCCACATGAATTGCAACTAATGAGAGATTTTGTTGAAAATAGAATATTAAGAAGTGAGTTGCTTCACTTTCTTGCACTCTTCAAGACTCTTAAAATTTGATGTAAAATATAAGTTATTGAGTGAAGTGAGTTTACCAAAATTTATATACATGAAAAAGGAATCCACTTCAAGTGTAAGTCTAGATAGAATTATCCTATTCAATAACTCAATATTTATATTGAATTTTAATGATTCAATTGTTAAATTAAAAGTTTTAAAAGAGTAGATAAAGTTTACAAATTTTTACAAAATATGTTTTTATTTATATGCATTAATTTGAATTAATGTAACAAAGTATCAAATAGTTTTTAAATTTTGTAAGAAGTTGTAGACTTGATCTACTCATTTAAAACTTTTAATTTAATAGTTAAATTGTTAAAATTTGATATAGAATATAAATTATTGAGTGGAATAAGTTTTAGACTTACTTCACTCAATAATTTATTATCTACATTAAATTTTATCGATTCAACTGTTGAATTACAATTTTTTAATATATAGATATAACCTACAAATTTTTAAAAATTTGAAAAATATGTAATATTTTGCTTCATTAATTCAAATTTACTAATAATCATAAAAATATTTTATATGTTGATATATATCTTTATATATATATATATATATATATATAAAATGAGGATCATATGGTTTTTGAATTTTCTTAAAATTCGCAGACTAGGTCTATACATTAAGAATTTTTAATTTAACGATTGAATATTTAAAATTTGGTGTAGAACATAAGTTATTGAGTGGAGTAAGTTGACCCCTCTTTTATATACTAGTAGGGTTGAGACACTCCGTACCGATCTATATTTTATTTAAATAAAATAAAAATTGAGATTAGGAAATAAAAATATTAAAGTGGGTAGTTACTAAAATAAAATCGTAGTTACTAAAAATATTATTAATTATTATTATTTTTATAATAGAAAAGTATAATGATCTATCAAATGTGGAGACTAAAGGTAATTACTGAAAGAGATATCTCCTTGACAGACTTATTTCATTTGATAACTAATTTTTTATACCAAATTTTGATAATCTAATTGTTAAATTAAAAATTTTTAATGCATAATTTAAGTATACAATTTTTTTTAAAAAAATTGAAAAACTATATATAGATTCAAATGAATGTATAAAATATTTCTATATTTATCTACCAATCTGAATTAATGAGACAAAATATCAAATAATTTTTAAAATCTTTTAAAAATTTATAGATTTGATCTACACAGCAAAATTTTTTAATTTAATGATTAAATCATTAAATTTTAAAATAGAACATGAGTTATTGAGTATATTTAGTGTACCAAGGTTTATTATTTGAATAAATGAATATCTTCTCATATATAAATGGATTTGTTGACATAACATTGAAGAACGCTAACAACAAAGTTGATGGGAGTTATTTTATGATATTTTTCTAAGGAGATATTTTATAAAGATTATTTTTATAAGGTTATTTTATACACAACTCCACAATGATGAGATATTTTTCGCGTTGGACCTAAGTTTTTACGGTTTTACTTTTGGTCATCATCCAAAAAGTCTCTTAATCATTGAAGTACGTGTATATTTTATAAGTTTTTATTTCTTATCTTATTTTATCGATGTGAGACTCATTTATATCTTAACAAAATTCTCTTTAACATTTTTTCTTATCGGGTAAATTTCCTAATGCAAGTCTCACTAAATATGTGAATCCTATTCCCCTTTGGATAACATAGTATTTTTGAGGATATAATTGTGCTTTTAAATTTAGTGAATTGTGTGAATGTGTTGTTTAATTATGTTATAATGGTGTTAATATTGAGCAAAGGAAAATATTGAGCGCCAAATATTGGGGCTCAAAAAGTGGCACTCAATGCTAGGTGCTAAATATGTAACTGCTATACAATGTGATTATTTTGGATAATTTTTGGGTAGTTTTGGAGGGTTAGAAACCTTACAGACAAAAGTTCTAGGGGAGGAACTCTGGGATTCAAGGAACTTTTTGTTGGTACTTCCTTAATTTCACTATTTATGCTTTCTTAATCGTGTTTAGGAGTAGCTAAACTCCATTCTTGTTGGAGTTAGCTGTAAAGTCCCTTGGGAAACAAGTTTTACTCATACTATCTACTTGTTAAGACTTGGTACACTTGCCAATAGTTACAAAAGAGACAAACAACTTGCATGAATTTTAACTAATAAAAGATGATGTGTTAGAAAAAAATACTAGATAATGTGTTGTTTGCACTCAACCAAATTTGTGTTTTATATTTTTCTAGCTCATTCTCAACCTTTGATGTTGCTTTAAATCCTAATCCTTTCAACTCTCTCCTTTCCAGGTTCACTTTTTAGGTGTGGGGCTTTAATAAATCGTCGTGATTAAATTAAACGCAATCTCCACTTTAAGTGATAATTTAGTGTTATTAAGTTAGTGTAAACAATGAAGTAGTTTACTTCATAACGGTGACGCCAAGAGGAACACAAAGCAGTTTAATAGAACATCAAAACTCTATTAGCAAGGCATCATCAGCTACTGGCCTCTGTACTAAGGCCATTAGAATATCAAACTTAGACTATGTTTTGTTACACGTTTGCATATTGCAACCTCAGTTAGTCAGTCTCGAGCACAGTGCCTACATGTTTGACAATTTCTTTTCCCATTCCGTTGAGAGTGAACCGTAGTTTAATCAAACGAGAGAAGGTGTTTTTTTTTTATAATATATATATATATATATATATATATATATATATTATGATGTTTGGAAACTAGTTTGCATAATTAAAAACAGAAAAACACACATTTCAAAACACCAAATTAAGAAGTAATTTTTTTTTATCTTTTCTGTTGAATGTGACTTTGTAGGTTTCTCACCGAAACCAAACACACACTTAATAAATGTATCTTCCATTACGAGATTAGCAACATTCTTGTGAGTTGACTCATTAGAGCAGTGAGTAGGATGAACGAGATGGTTATATAGAAGTAAATGACATATAACATTCTCGTTTGCTATACCTAGAGATCAAGCCTGGGTTCATGACTTTCTGAATGAAGATAGGTGCCACTAAGTTAAAAGGCCATTGAGAATGGATGATTTCTTTTAGATGTGAAAAAAAAACAATCCTTAATGACCGTCCCAAAGATTGCAGTGGTCATGTTTATGATGCAGAAATATGCCGTAGAAAAAATAAAAGGATATGCATATAGTAAAATTATTAAGACCAGACTACCAATTAATCATTGACTGGATCCATCACAGTCAATAAAGTAAAATTATAGCCTTACAATTATAGGTTGTAATTCGTTTATCATCTTTCTAATAACTTATCAATTACAAAACAGCTAATACAGAAATACTGAATGAAATACAATAAAACAGAACTTAAAATAAAATACAGAATATATGTCACCTCAAAAAGCTGGTTTACAATTGGTAAGGAAACAATTCTTCTACTTATTCCAGGTCTAATCGGGTTTGATGATGAAGCCAGAAGCAATTCATTCACACAAATTGTGTGCGAAACTGAAAGAGATATAATATAGCAGAACCAAGATTATTCTTCCTTCTTGCAGTTTATTGTATAAGCCAAGCCCCTATGCTCTAATAGGTTTCTGAAGAACAGCAGACAACACAACTTCAGGTTTGCCAGAGCCAACACTATCAACCTTCTCCCCCACAACCCATTTCAACTTCTTATATCCGAATCGTTCGATCAACCGAGTCAAAGCTTGTTTCTTCGCCTCATTGGCACAGAAGAAGTTATCCAGCCAAAACAAGCCACCAGCCCTCAAGACCCTATCAACATCAAACATCAAAAACTCCAACTTCTCAATCTTCCCTCCAACATCCAAGCCACTTGAAGCATGTACCAAGTCAAACACATTATCAAAGAAAGGGAACCTATGATCCAAGCTCAAGTAGAGAGGGAAAAGCCCCCTTGCAGCAATGAACTCACTGAAGGGGGCATCAACATTGAGAGTACTAGTAACCACAGTGACATTCCTCTCAGCCATTCTAGCAGCAAAGGATCCAGACCCTCCACCAATGTCAAGCCCTATCCTAACCCCTCCACCACCCAAGGCCAAAACATCATCAACAACAAAATCATTCTTACTCTTAGCTCTAACAAACCTAACATTCTCATTCCCATGGACCAAATCAAAGCAACCAATGCATTCCCTACTCAACTTCCGACCATTCAAACACTCAAAATTCTTGCAACCAAGGCCACTCCAATTAACAGTCTTGTTACCAACAGGCTTCCAAAGAGAATCAGGAAAGGGGAACAAACCTGATTTTGGAATAGTCTTGGCAAAGCACCTCCTCCTAGGCAAGGGCTCACACCCTCTTAGGATCAGCTTCTGGGCCACACTCCAATCATCAGGGCAAGGCCCAAAAGCCTTGTAACTCATGAACTGGGACAGCAAGTCTGAATTTTTCTCGCACGTGTGGCCCACAGAAGGCACCATCTCAGTGATCCCGGTTCTTGAGTCCTTACCCAGAGGGAGCTGGTGGCGGGTTAGGAAGAGTTTGAGCTCTGTGGCAATGTTGGGCCTCGAAAGATCGAGGCTTTCGTAGCCCAGAAGCTCTTTCTCCATCTGGGCAAGTTTCTTTTGGGACAAGTCGATCTCTCTGAGGATGAGTGAGACTTGTTCAGAGATGAGGGAAATGTTCTTGTGGGCATGGTGGTGGAGCAAGTGATGGGGCTGTTTTGGGGAAGTGAAGGCGTAGAGGGCGAAGAGGTTGGTGGTGATAACAGAAAATATCATGAGAATGTTAACTGCTGAAGAACACAGTGTTGCTCTCTGGAATCTTGCGGTTCCATCTCCTATCTTCAGAGAAACAGAACCCATCTCAGAAACAAGTTTCAGATCAGAGAGTGAATTATTAGTAGATTTGTTTGGACTTGGAGTGAGTGAGTGAGTGGAGTGAGTAAGAAAGCTTGTTTTCAAAGGTAACCCAATTACCAAATCCAAATGGAACCTTGTCGGTTGCGCTTGTTGTGTGGGTTGTGTTTAGGTTGAGAGCTTGTGGAATTGTTTAATGAGAAATTGAATCTATGGCATGACAGAGTAAATAATTTTCATATCATACTTTATTAAACTGTTTTTCTGCACAGAGATTAAGAGATCTATCGCCAACATGCATTTTTTTAATTGGAAAACAGGAAAATATAGCATACACTTTCGTGTGTAAGAATTTTAATTTGTAAACAACGTTGTGGTTAGTTTTATTTTAATGAAGTGATATATATGTTTTTATTATAACTATGGGAATTCAGATACTTCGAGAGATTTGGAGAAGGAAATTTATCAGAGGTGGAGAAAAAATAACAAAACTTAAATAAAAAAATGAAAAATAGTAAAAAAAATGAGTAATTTGAAGGTAGTTTATAAAAATAAAATATTAAAAGTAATGTGTAAAAAATGATTTTTTTAATTATGTTCATAGGTTATTTTGCAAATATTTTGCAAAACAGATTCGTAATTATTGAAGGAATTGTTTTTTCTTTACGAAATATTTATTATATATGTTTTTAAAAAAAAGTGTTGTTGGTTAATTTTGATATATTTTTTTGTACAGAATGTCAAATAAAACAAAGTATGGCTTTATAAATTAGTTTTCACTGATTTAATGAAATGCTTTGGGCTTTGAAGAGTGACTTTCGCTAGCCTACCAGTACAACTTGTAAATAAAAAAGTCAATGCATACACTGGAACCAAACGGTAAAAGAATGTGTTTGACAATTTCAGTTAACTTATGATTTATTGTAGTGTTTATTTGATATAAATTAAAATATTATTTTATGAGTTTATTCTATTACCTTATAGTACTTTTCGTACACAGCTTAAAATAACGTTTTAATTTATAATTTTGTTTTAATTTATAATTTCATTTTAATTTTTACTTATATTATTAATATTTATTAAATTAAGTTGACATAAATGACAAAAGATTCACATTGCTTAATTAAATAGTTAGAAATCAAATATTGAGTATTACGAATGCAAAATAACTCAAGTTATAAAACGATATCACCTATTTAATACCTATCAAATTTTTAAAAAAAATTGTTCACATGTTCAACCTTGATAATGAATTAATAAAATATTTTTTTAATTACCATTTCTTTAAATGTTAAATTATTTATTGTAAAAAAAATTCTTCTTCAATATTAAGTGTTACATTATTTACACTATTTTAATTTTTACTAAAGTATATAATCTTTAGTCATTATTTTACTATTTACAACATTTACTAACAATATTTCACACATTCTACTTAACAATATTTACTATTTTAATTTATTTTTTTCACTTGAGTTGTCCTTTTGAACTTTGTTCACTTTAGTTGTCATTTTGTATTATCAATCTACACTTATTAATTTTATACTTAACAAGTAAGGCACAAATGATTTTTGAATACTATTATTTATTATTTATCAACTAAATTACAGTCTTAATTTTTTTAATTAATAATTTTGGTTATTCAGTCTTCTAAATCTAAAATTACCATATTTGGATCATGCTATCAATTTGACATTTATAAATATTAGACTACTTTAGTAAGATGACATTCAAAATTAAAAAAATAAATAAAAATACATACAAAAATCTTAATATATTTATTTTAACGTGATTAATACTTATTTTATTACTAAGCCTCTTTTGTATATTTTTTAATTTTTATCTCTAAAATCATTCCACTTGCACAATAATATGTTATTAATTATTGTTAAAGCATAATCACCAAATAGGTGATTATCAAATTAATGGTAATCTTTTTGTATTTTTAACATTAAAAGCAATTAAATATCTCTATTTTAAATCTTGGAACCAGCTATCCCATCCTTTGAGGTGCCTCCAACGTAGCGAGGAGATTAGTCACTGCTATTGGCGGTAGATACTCTAGGAACGAACAAAAAAAAAATCTCTATTTTATAACATGAATTCAAAATTGTAAATTAAAAAATAGAGAAATAAAAAATATAAAGGTTATAATAATACTAGTATAACTTTTATTAAGTATTACATTGCTCAATAATTTTATATTAAATAAAAATTTTGTAAATCTAACCAGTAGATTAAAAGTTCATATTACTTTATACATTTGTATCAAATTTTGTTAAAATTGAACAACTTAAAAATAATCAAAACGTTCATATTTTAGTATACTTTGAAATGTATATATTACATCAATTTTTATAAATATTTTATAAAAATGAATTATCAAATCAACTTGAATTAATATAAAATTTTGTATATATGATTTAAGAGTAAAGAACTTTCAATCTAATAGTTAGATTTACAAAATTCACATTTAATATAAAGTTATTGAGTGATATAATACTTAATAAAAGTTACACCAGTATTATTATAATTATCCTCTAATTAAAACATTAGCAAATAATTATCTTTGTAACTTTGAAAATAATAAATTTACCATGCATCAAAATTGTAAATTTATTAATGAGTAATAATTATTCGGAACTTAAATAATTAAAAGAGTTGTTTGGTGAGCTTATCTTATTAAGTAAATGTTATTTGAAATTTATTTAATGCAACTGAATCCGACGTACACCCTCTGAAAGCTGTGAGTGTAAGCTTTTCAACAAAATCCGACCTACACCATCTGAAAGCTGTGTTGGCTTTTCAACAAAACAAACGGTGCTCCAAACTGTGACCTATACCAGCCTGTAGGATTAGATTTGTGCACCAAACTGTGACCCATACAACAAAAGAAGCCTCTGTAAAACCCCACTCCTCTTACTGCCTGTAGTCATTAAAATTTGAAACAGGCTGAATAGCATAATAGCTTCATATGCAAAACAAATTCAGGCCAAACAAGACAAGGTAGAAAATTAGCCTTCCCAAGTGAATCTTCCAATATATTCTTTCTTATTGTTTTACCCTTCCTCTTCTTCCTTTGAAGTATTGTAAAGTGAATTCCAACTCCGTACCCTCGTCTGCAAGCATCAGAATAAGATCTTTGCAAGTGACTAGCGAGTATAGGCTGGTGAGCAGACACTCCCTTTCTGTCAAACCCAACACTGAACTATTTTCATGGGGGGAAGAAGTATGAACAGTCTCTCTCTCTCTTTTTTTTTTTTTTTTTTTTTTTTTTTTTTTTTTACCCTT